AAATCGCAAATATATAACTAAAACATATACTCAGGGCCGGCGCGAGTAGGTGTCACGTGGGGTGGTGCCATTACAGCTTTTGCCGACTAAAAAAAAAAAAAAAAAACGGTCCTCGTTTTCCAAAATTCGCCGACTGTCATTACGACATTTGCCGACTGTCTAACCTATATCGAAAGGGTCGACATTTGCCGACTAACTAGTCTAAAAAGGTCCGATTTGCCGACTAAGGGTCCAGTTTGCCGACTAAAAATCATTGATGAGGGAGGGGGGTCACACATCCCCCTTCCCCCCCCCCCACACACACCCCTATCGCGCCGGCCTTGGATATACTTTTTATAAGCACTAAGCTAATATGTTTATTTAAAATAAAAATAATCCAAAGCTTTTTTAATTGAAAAAAGTTATGTAAATTTTGAGGATAAGTATTTTTGAAAAAAAAATATTTGCGAAAATTTGACAATTTTATAGCCATTATGAATGGTTCTAGCAAGCTTGCCTTCATCTCTAGTAATTAAGCGGATACATTTTTGAGTGGAGTAAAGCACCTTTGTTTCAATAATGAAATAAAAAAAAAGTTTAGAAGATTTGACTTTTTTGGGACTTTTGGCCACGGAAAAAAAATTCTGGCCGAAACGAAAATATCTTTTCGTTTTCGTTTTTAGTATTTAATTATCTTTTTAACCGGAATTATTCTTCAAACTTATCAAACTATCTTCAAAAATTTTGCAACAATCATTTTTTGAAAAAAATGGAAGTTACAATGAAAAATATTGAACGACTTATAACAACAAAACTTGAAGAACAGAAAAAATATATTCTCAAAGAAACTGACAAACTTCTAAAAAACCAAGAAACAACATTTACAAATATTATAAGCTCAAATCTGAAAATTATGACGGATAGACTTGATAAACTCGAAAGTGAAATTAACACCAACAAATCAAAAACTTCAACCTTAGAAAAAAACTTTAGAGATATCAAAGAAACCTTTAACTTCCAAGAGGAAAACTTCACAAACAAACTAGCATAAATGAGCCAAAAGTGTAATGATGAAATTAGTATATTAAAAAAGAAGACTATAGATTTGGAAAACAGATCACGTCGTAACAACCTAAGAATTGACGGAGTATCCGAATCTAACTCTGAAACATGGAATGACTGTGTTAGCATAGTAAAAAATATCTTTAAAAACAATTGGGAATTGCAGAGGACATAGTAGTTGAGAGAGCCCATCGAGTAGGACAAGTAAAAGAAGACAAGCCGCGAACGATAATTCTCAAACTTTTAAATTTTCATGAAAAAAGCAAAATATTTTCTTTAGCAAAAAAACGTAAGGGCAGTGGAGTATTCATAAATGAAGATTACGCAAATGAAACCTTAGAAAAACAAAAAAAAGCTTTGGGAAGAAATAAAAAGACGCCGAAAAGAAGGTAAATTTGCAATTATCAAATATGATAAAATTTTTGTACGAGAGTTTCGGAAATAAGTTAAATGTTTAACCTCAATTTTATAAAAATAAACTCTTAATCATGCGCAATGGCTTACAAAACAATTGACTTTGACTTTTTATGACGCAGATATACAGGTTTTTAAAGAATTAGATTTTAATTTGCAATACTATGACACTGAAACTTTTAAAACGCTATTAAAAACATATATAAAAAATTTCACGGTGATACACATCAATATTAGAAGTTTAAGTTTAAATATAGACAAACTAAAACACTTTCTTTTAGAATACAATTTTTTATTTAACGTGATTTGTCTCACAGAATCATGGTGTGATGATGAGTCAGCTCAAAAAAGTTCAAATTTTCAGATTCCTAATTATAAAATAATTTCATCTGAGAGAAAAACGCTCAAAAGGGGAGGCGGAATTTTAGTTTACATTCGTAATGACCACGATATCAAAATTAGAAAAGACCTCTCGATCTCTAATTCAGACAGTGAGGCCCTAACAATTGAGATAATAATTAAAAATACAAAAAACGTTGTAGTTTCTACTTGTTATAGACCACCCGACGGTGATGTTATTCAGTTTTCAAATTATATGCAACAAATTTTAATCAAAAGCAATAATGAACAAAAAAGATTATTCTGCATCGGTGACATCAACATAGATAGTTTAAAGTACAATGAATACCCTAATACTAAAGTCTTTTTTGACAATATGTTTCAACACGGCATAATCCCAATCATTAATAAACCAACTCGTGTTACAACAACTTCCATTAGTGCTATAGATAATATTCTAACTAACTCTTTTCTAGATAAGTCTATTAAAACAGGAATAATTAAAACTGATATTTCGGATCATTTTCCTATTTTCTTTTCTTTTGCTGAACATGCAACCATAAATGATAATTCTAAAATCAAAGTCTTGAAACGAAAAATGAATGAACATTCTATGCTTAAATTTAAAGAACCTTTATCAACTATAAATTGGATAAATGTATACCAAGAATGTAACCTTGGACACACAAATTCCGCTTATAATCTATTTCTCGACATCTTTCTTGAATATTATAACAAACATTTTCCAATACAAGAAATAGAAGTCAAAACAAAATATTTAAAATGTCCTTGGATTACACGCGGAATAAGAAAATCTTCAAAAAAAAAAGCAAAAATTATACATCAAATATTTAAAAAGCAAAAACGAAGCTAATCTTAATGCCTATAAAAAATATAAAAATCTGTTTGAAAAAATAAAAAATAAATCTAAAAAAAGATATTATTCTCAACAATTAAAAAATAATAATGGTAACAAAGAAAACGTGGGAAGTTATGAAAGAAATCATTGATAAAAATAAAATAGTATCTGACATTTTACCCTCCAGAATAACGGAAAACGATATTGAATACAAAAACAAAAAAGTTATATCAGAAATATTTAATCATTTTTTTGTAAACACTGGTCTAAACCTGGCATCAAAAATAAAAGGCTCAGAAACATCGTTTCAAAATTATTTTAGCGATTTTGAAAGCTCATTGCCCGATAGTAATTTAACTTTTGATGAACTAGAAACAGCAATCAAATCAATTAAAAAGAATAAGGCCCCGGGTATTGATGACATCTCTGGCAATGTTGTGCTTTATATTTTTTCTGTAATAAGAAAGCCTATTTTTAATATCTCCAGCTCTTCAATCAAAAACGGAATTGTCCCAGACAAATTAAAAATAGCAAAAATTGTACCTATATTTAAAGGTGGAGATACATCTGCAATTAGCAATTATAGACCAATCTCAATTCTTCCTATATTTTCTAAACTCCTTGAAAGAATAATTTACAACAGACTGTATAAATATATAATAGAACACAAAATCTTAAGTGAAAATCAATACGGGTTTCAAACGCAACATTCAACAGAACATGCTATCCTAGATCTCATTAATAACATTACAACTTCCTTTAATTCCTTTTACATACATATTTGTACATCAAACAAAAACTTTGTAAATTTCAACTTTTGGCTCTTCTGTCTAGATAGGTTGTTGACCCCTTATTTATACAATTTGTTGAACGTATTTTTTGTTATACTAAACTCCCCAGTGGGCACCGGACTAAAAAAAGATGTCTTTTAAATGTTTAAAAGACGTTAAAAGACGTTCAAAACGTGTAAAAGACTTGACGTCTTTTTTATGTCCCGTGCCCACTGGGTCTATTAGAAATGATTGGCTTTTACTGTGAAATTGAATTTGGTCTAAAGTTAAAGTGAGGTGGATTGACAAATTGAAGTGTTGCATTAATTTGAAATATGTTCATAACTTAAACGCGTTAAGTGTATACATTTTGTGAACACCCTTTATTCTTTTTTTTTGTTCGGAGTAAGTTTTCGTAAGTTATAAACTGGAAATATGTTCTTGAGCTAAAAGTTTAATAACTCCTTTTACTTTAATTCACTCTTTGTTCAGAGCAAGCATTTGTAATTTAAAATGGTTCTCTAAATAGTTTACTTTTTATCTCTTTTTTGTTTTACTTGTAAATTAGTCTATTCAAAAAATATATAATTTTTTTTTCCATTTTACTTATTTATTATTTTTTCATGGTGAGGAGGGGGGGGGGGGGGTAATTGAATGTTGACGTAATTTTTTAGGGGGTGGTCTCTGGCTATTGACAAGGGGGAGGGAGCTCAAAAACTGCCAAAAAATTGTTGACGTAATTAATGGACAGCTCCTAGGGCAATACTTTCATGACATGTTTTGAGGATCACATTTCAATAAATCTAATATGCAGTGCCGGACAGAACAATTTGGGGACCCTAGACAGACATGAATGTGGAGGCGCCCCCCCCCCCCACATGTATTAATTTTTCTTCAATTTTTAAGTAATTTTTATTATTAACATTTATGTAGGAAATCTTGACAAAATTGATGTAAGTACTGTATATTTCACTACAATCCTTTTTAAACACGATAATGAACTTTTAATTTTAATTTCTTCATTTTCAACTTTTTTGGGGCCCCTTTAACGTTGGGGGCCCTAGGCGGCTGCCTTATTTACTTTATAGTACGGTCCAGCACTGCTAATTTGTGACCTATTTGGCAGATCGCTCAATAGAATTTGATAAATCATTTTTTTTATTTGGTAAGACGTTTACAATCTGGCAAATAAAAATATTTGTGCATAAGATTAGTCTCAAAACTATGATATGTTTTTCGTGGCATTATTAGCCGATGTCTAACGTAATCTGCCAAAATTTTCCAGGAGGTTATTAATACTAATTCGGCAGTTTTTATAATCCGTTCTACCTTTAGTACCTATTAAATAATCTGCTCCACCAATCTGCTCCGCTCTGCCGATGTTTCTAATAACTACGCGACACTATATACGTTATTGCCGTGAGTTTCGTAAATCTAATCTATTTTTAAATTTTCTTGTTTGTATTCAGTTTTATATCTTATTTGGTTAACCTTTTTATAATAAAATTAAGAGAAAATTTCGTTTAAATTTAGCAATGACGATATTCTATATGACGTATTACAATCCTTTGTAACATTAATATACCTTTTAAAGAAATGTTGTAAAATGTTGTTCTTAATTTTTCATACTGTAGTAAATTTATTAACCGAAGGAAATTTATTTAGTTAAAATAATTTAATAAATTAGTTGCAAGTTTAAATTTTTTAGAAGATTTTACTGATAATGAAAATAGGTAGCTTTGTTTATTCTGATTATCAAACTATTTTGATGAGCTATTTTAATTGAATACTTTGCGTTTAATATTTTTTACTTGTATTATTACAGATCATGACTATAGTTGGACAATATCTGAGTTAAACATTGATGGAAAGAAATATTCATATTGTGATTTGAAAAAATTAAACGATGAAAGAGTCAGTAAGAGTTTTAAATATAATATTGACTACACTAAGTAAAATGGATGTATTTTTTATTTTTATTAATATTCAAGAAATGTAAATGTTTTCAAATTTTTATTAACCAAATACAATTTTTTTTGAACTAAATGAAAATTTTAATAGCAATAACAACAATATATTTTTCAGTTAATATAAGAAAATGGTTAATATAAAAAATAATATCAGACTTAATATAAGAAAATGGTTAAGAAAAATGTGTCATTATAGAGGTATTTAATTATGTTTTATGAACCAAAAATGCTAAATTAACTAAGTGCTTTTTTTTGATTTGTTGATATTCATAAGTGTCATTTGATTTATTGATATTCATAAGTGTCAAATGCATATATAAATTTTTATAAATAGCGGTATTCCTAATATATATTTCTGAAATGACAGAATAATTTAGATTTGCCTATAATTAATACTAATTTATTAATTTGTCATTGCAAAAAAAAAAATATCTTGAAGAAAATGGAAAATAAAATGGTCTGGCGATTCAACAAGCCACATAACTTAGGCATTTAAAATATGTACCATCAAAAAAAAGATCTATAAAAATTGCATGGTTTCATGCAAATATACCAACGTGTCTTGTAAATCATTCATCACCAATCATTCAATCATTCATTCAATTGGTTAAAAGCTTAAATCAAGGTTATAAATATACTCAATAGCAAACAATATCATATATATATATATATATATATATATATATATATATATATATATATATATATATATATATATATATATATATATCATATATATATATATATATATATATATATATATATATATATCATATATATATATATATATATATATATATATATATATATATCATATGTATATGATAATTTTAAAATCTGGCCCCCTTCCTCCCCCTTGTTGCCATGCGTACTTCTAAGTCCTTTCCCCCTAAAAAAGTATGTACGTTTTTGAAATACCCCTCCCCCCCCAACTTTGTTTTTCAATGAAAAAGTTTATGAAAAAAAAAAATTAAGGAGGTACCTTAGCTACTTTATGTAACCCAAAAGCTCTTCGTTTGCGGCACAGGATCCAAATTTAACAAACCTCTTCAAATATATTTGCAATTATTAATTTAAATATAGTTAAATTACCTTTCATCCATGTGTTTGCTTGGTCTAGCGGTTAGTTCTATGGACTGAGGCAACGGAGATTCAATACCCAATCGAGTCAAATTATAATTTTTGTATTTTAATGACGAATCAAATAAAAATAAACTATACTTGATGTGAACTTTTTTTTTAGGCACCCTTATTTAGTAAACCCATTAAAATTGAGTCCTACACGAGATCAGTTATATCGAAAACAAAGCCTAAAACCCAGTGCCAAGGATAAGCTACCCATACCCCTTAATTTGGGGGAGGGGGAGGGGGAAAAGGGACAAAAAGTTTTGTGTCTTTTTGTTAATTTAAGGAGCTTTTTATTTTAGCGAAACCTAGTGGTAAAAGTTTGGAGATTTTGAGACCCAAATGACAATTTTTTCGGGGGGAAGGGGCCTCTGACCCAGGGCTTTTTTGCTCCTAGGCCTCTGCCATCTTAATTTTTTGCAAGGCCTCCTCGTTTAGCATAGGTATAAACATACTTAAGTTTGGAGTTTGTATAATGTGTGAAAGTGTCCTATCTGGAACATCAAAAAATCCTGCGGGCCCCCTTTATGTGTGAATTGAGGGAAACTATACCCTTTACTCCCTATACCAAACATCTTTTTATGTTGGCAAACTAGGATCTTTAGTCAGAATTTTAACTTTTCTATTGATTAGCTGTTTAATTGTGATAAATTAGAAAATTGATGTACGTACTTTTAAATTGAACCTCCTCCTTCCCCCCCCCCCCTGATACGCTTTACTACGCTTTTTGAAGACCTTTTCCCTCGTATGTACTTTATGGACGACCCCTAAGTTAAATATAAGGGTTATTCCATATCAAATCACCTAAAGGCTCCCAGGGTACCACCTCAGAATTGCTTTAAATTTTGACCAGACACAGATCTTATGAAAAAAATACAATCCAGAAAATTTTAGCTTGATTGACCAATTTGTTCAAAAATTATGATTGATTTAAAATTGACTAAAATCCAAAAAATTTGTGTATCAGGAGCTTACAGCATTTTTTTTTCGATTTTTGACAAACCATAACTTTTTAAATAAAGATGGTAATCACCTGAAATTTTGTAGGATAATAGTTTTTCATCCAAATAATCCATTATTGCAGTTATTTTTGACTGATTTTTACAGTTTTTGAGTTATTGTACCTTAAAGTTGCTAAATATTGCAACATTATAACTATTTTTTCGAACTTTAACGTGTTACAGTTTCATACTTACTAACAGAAAGTGGATTTTTCTGTTACCTTTATGTACTTAGGGTCACCACTTGTTAGAATAATTAAAATTATGCATTAAAAATTAATTTAGCACATGCAGCAGCCTATTAAAAAATCACTTTTTTAAAAAATTATGATAAATTACATCGATTTTGCTGGCATAGAAAGTAGCGTAAACAGTTAAAACAGATTATGAAACTTTTTAATGTCGAGGTTCTATATATAGACAATCACCAAAAAAAAAATTAAAGACCTATACTCTATCTTATTACATGATTGTAGCCTTTTGAGAGTGATAATATTTTTAAAAGGAGAACAAAAAAATACCACTTACTACATACAAAATTTTTACCTTAAATTTTATACAAACTATACTGTAAAAAAGTGCATTCAAAGAGTAAGATAATCAGTTAAAAGAAAAAGTATGTATACATGAAACTAATTAGCTTATCTCTGATTTATATAACTCATAATACTGTCATAGCCATTACTAGCAAGAATATAGTCACGAGCACTTATACTTTTAATCAATGAAACACTTTTTTGACATATTATCTTGTCAAATGGAACCCAACACTGACTTGATCGTGCATCGTTTGTCCATTTTAAATTTAATTTGTTTCTTTGCATAAACTTCACATTAACATCATGGTTTTCATTACAAATATCAACCACAAGCCCTACGTACCATTCTTCATCGTAAAAGCATGCAATATATTTACCGGGTTGAAAATTTGAAGAATTTTTTTTTTAATCAAATTAACATCATTTAACACATGAGTATCATAGACAGTATCACTAGAAATTCTTCGTAAAAAACAATTTCTCTCCATCTGGTACAAAACAATGATAGCTTCCTGTTCCAGGAACTGTGCGCATCCCTTCATATTGTTTCTGAAGGGAAAAAGTTGTTTCATGGTTATTGATATCGTCACTTGAAAGATAAAATATGTTAACACCTTTGATGTTTTTTTGAACCCATGTAAACAGATCTTGTGGTGTGAGAATCTGATTTTTAATGCATTATTTTGATTATTCTAACAAGTGGTGACCCTAAGTACAAAAAGGTAACAAAAAAAACCACTTTCTGTTATTAAGTATGAAACTGTAACACATTAAAGTTCGAAAAAATATTTATAATGTTGCAATATTTAGCAACTTTAAGGTACAATAACTCAAAAATTGTAAAAAATCAGTCAAAAATAACTGCAATAATGGATTATTTGGTTGAAAAACTATTATCCTACAAAATTTCAGGTGATCACCATCTTTATTTAAAAAGTTATGGTTTGTCAAAAATCAAAAAAACTGCTGTAAGCTCCTGATACACAAATTTTTCAGATTTTGATCATTTTTAATTCAAAACTTTTGAACAAATTGGTCAATCAAGCTGAAATTTTTCTGAATTGTATTTTTTTCATAAGATCTGTGTGCGGTCAAAGTTTAAAGCAAATCTGAGATGGTACCCTGGGGAACTTTCAACAAACTAGGTGATTCGATATGGAATAACCCATAAGTTATAATATGCAAAAACAAATTAAAAAACTTTTTTTTTTCTTATACAAAAGGAAAAATGTTTTTGTTTAAGAGAATTCTTTTCATAAATGTATTCAAATTTTTTTGTTTCATCAAAATTCAATATCCTATAAAAATCTTTTGATGTAATACATTTAAAAATATCTTATTGGGAACTGATAAAATCTACCTGTTGATACTGATAAACATTAATCTATTAAAAATACTACATTAAATATGTAAAAATTAAAATAAATATATTGTGATAAACAAACCAAAGGTTATGTTAAATATATGATTGTTTTAAGAAATCAATTATAAGGAAATATAATTTTTTCAAATAAATTAATAAAGTTAATAACTTTTGTTATATTACTTTAAATGATTTTTAATGCAGTATAAAATTAAAATTAACTACAATGAGGTACTTTAAATTACTTTCAAAATATCAATAATTTTTAGACTCCTGTAACAAATATCTTATCTATAATTAATAATTTAACATTAACAACTCATTTAAAGCAGAGAGTTCTAAAGTATTTGTAAATCATTTTTTTATATTTGTCAATACTTTATTGTTGTAAAAAAGTGTCTTTTTTAAAAAGTAAAATTTGCGCTCAATTCAAGTGAAAATAATACTAATGGTGTATATGTCAGCATTTACTTTATCTGAAAGTAGAAAAATTAATATTATCAATACTTTACAATATTAACAATAGTTTACAATATTACTTTTATTTGCACAAATTATTTCTAGTCTACACTAAACCTTTTATGATTTTTATTTATTTTTTATATCTAATTATCTCTAGCCTACACCTAGCTAAGGAAAAATAACTATGTGAAAACTCAGCTGAATGTGAAATTTTTTTATTTGAAATAGTGATGAGCAACGCAAAACATTAAAACATACCATTAACATTTTTTTTTTAAATGTCAGCAGGGTGACCAACATTACCAAACTGGTTACTTTTAGTCAACCTTCTGGCGGCCAAGCAAAAGTCCGAGTGTACACTCCTGCTAATATATATATATATATATATATATATATATATATATATATATATATATATATATATATATATATATATATATATATATATATATAAACCTTGTTTTAAAGTTTTAAAGAAAAAAATGGCTTAGCATATTAGCTAGTCATGATTATGACATTGTTAATTATCTTTACTTTTTTTTATATTTAAGGACATTAACTTTTTTAAAATACAGCAATAAAATAATTTACCGCAAAACAAGTTTATTTTACTAATTAAGAAAAACAATCTAGAAGTGTTATTTTTTTAACATACATAATTGTGGAATGTCTATTTTTTCTTTTTTCTTTTTTTTTTTCAATTTCAAAAAATTTTTTAGTATTTTATGCGCAAATATCAATCTTAATTTTAAAGCAAACTTTTTTATGTATTCGTCATTCAAACTACATATGTGGTTTTTACAACATTAAATACTTCTTTTATCTTACTGCTTAAACAATATCTTTAGACTTGTTTAAATAATAAAAGATGATAAAAGAGCGATCTGATTCCTCTAACTACCGTCCCATTAGTCTTCTTCCTATCATAAGCAAGGTTTTTGAATCTTTAATTAACAAACAATCTTGAATCTTGAATCTAATAGCTTACTTTCTGATCATCAATATGTATTTCGATCTTCTCGTTCTACGGCTGATTAGATAAAGGTGGAGTGGTTAAGGCCATCGCTCTTGACATTTCTAAACCGTTTGATAAAGTTTGTCATGCTGGTCTTCTCCATTAGCTTCCTTCATACGGTGTATCTGGAAACATCTTTAAGATTATTGAATCCTTCCATTCCAATCGTAGTATAAAAGTTGTCCTTGATGGACAGCACTCTTCTTCTTATTCTGTAACCTTAGGTTTAATCCTTGGCCCTTTACTCTTTTTAATTTACAATAACGATCTTCCAGATATTCTCACATCTAAGGTGGCATTGTTCGCCGATGATACTACCATTTATTCTTGTCATGATAAGAAGACAACTCCCTCTGATTGCTTGCAGGAGGTGTTTGAGCTTGAAAAGGATCTCACTTCTGCTACAGCATGGGGCTCACAGTGGCTGGTGAATTTTAAGTCAGATAAAACTCAATTTTTTTTTAGCCAATCGTTATTGCAATAATTTAGACCTTCCTATATTTATGAACGGTAATGTACTCAATTAATCATCTACCCTTCATCTTCTAGGATTAACTCTTACTTCTGATCTTTTTTGGAAACCTTATATCAAATCCATTGCAAAATATGCATCTGCTAAAGTTGCATCTCTTTATCTGCTAAAGTTGCATCTCTTTATCACTTTTTTACTCTGGATTCTATTCTCTATCTCTATAAATCTCAAATCCAGCCTTGTATGGAATACTGTTCCCATATATGTGGCGGATCTCCAACCTTCAACCTTTGTCACATCGCCGTAGTGTTGCTTTTCTTTCTTTTTCCTACAAATACTATAATAGGCACTGCTCTAAAGAGCTAGTGTCTCCTGTGCCATCTACTAAAATTCATTCTCGTGTTTCTCGTCATTCAATTAAGTCTCATCCTTTTTCTGTTACTGTTCCTAAGTGCTCCAAAAACTCTTATTCGTCTAGTTTTTTTCCTCGAACAGCAGTTTTTTGGAATTGGCTTCCTTCATTTTGCTTTCCTGATTCATATAATTTGCAATCTTTTAAGTCGTCTGTCAATCGTTATCTTGCTCTACAATCTTCATCTTTTCTCTTCCAGTAACTTCCAACACTAATTAGTGGTTGCTTGCAGCCTTGTTGGAAGCGAAGATGTTAAAATATATATATATATATATATATATATATATATATATATATATATATATATATATATATATATATATATATATATATATATATATATAAATGAGGGCGCCACAAATTGTTTTTTTTTCAATAAACATTGATGTTCGTTTCTTTATTTATTGACAAACGTCTAATTTAAGAGGTATATCAAATATGCACCCCCCCCCCTCCTTTCCACCACACGCACTTTTTTTTTAAAGGTTTTTTTTTTTTTTTGTTTTAAATTCAAAAGAAATTTTAGATATAGAGGACTTTTTTCATAAATAGATGGTTGCGCACCTCCACTTTGAACCCCTGTTTTCGGCCAGAATAAGCCAGTTTTATTTTTAATTCTTTCAATTTTTTTTTTTTAATTTAAATAATTTTTTTATTAAATTATAAGGGAGTTTCATTTTCAAATAACTTTTATTCTAGTTAATAAGATATATATTAATTATATATATATCAAAGATAGTTATTGATTTTTATCAATTTTTTATTAATTTAAAACAATTTTTCACGCATTCGCAATTTGTGCACAAATTAATGATAACTAATATGCAATAACCTTTTGACTGTAAACTGTTATCTATTTTTCTCAATTTAGTTTGTTAAAGTATAAAAATAAAAGATATAAACTTGATGAAATTTAAATAAAAGGGAAAAAATAAAAACTTTGATAAAACATAATAGTTCTATAAGTTCTATTAAATTATATCTATTTCTGCAAATTTTTTTTCAAAACTTTTTTAAAAAATGACAAGTCAACATTTTATTTTAATTTAAAGATTAAAAGAAAAAAGAATGTTTTAGCATGGTTTTGTTTAAAGTAATTGCAAATGCATTTATTTTAACTTAAATTTGCCATTCTTTTGTAAACGCATGTAAAAACCATGCTAAAACATAATTTTTTCTACAGTTGCGTACTTTAAAGAAATGCTATTGAAGATAGTATTAGCAAGGTTTCTTTTAATGTCATTGAAACTGCATTTTAAATTTTAGTAACTTATTTTTTTTTTATAATAAATAAAAAACTATCAATCACATAACTATTTGGAAAAAAAAATTGCTGAAGTTATGCGTTCGTTTTTAAATTTTAGCGAATGTCAACGTTTGCTTAAGTAAAAGTAAGGAAACATGACGTTCGTTTTTCTTTTTTTTAACAAATGTCTTTTTTTAAACAAATGTTTGCAGGTTCGTCGATTTGTCGCACCCTGTATATATATATATATATATATATATATATATATATATATATATATATATATATATATATATATATATATATATATATATATACATATATATATATATATATATATATATATATATATATATATATATATATATATATATATTGTATTAATTTCCTTTTTACAGTCATTAACAAAACTTTAGGACCACCTAGCTGTTATAGGGTTAATGTGTGATTGGTGCTAAATGGAATAAATCAATGCAGTAGTGGTGTAGTGGTAGAGCGCTTGCTTCATAAGCAAGAAGTTCTGAATTCGATCCCCATCACATCCCTGTTAGTACCGTGCTCAACTTTTTTCTCAGCGCAGTGGCCTTGTTTATCAAGGTTCGTATTTTGGAGTTATAGAGTTAAGAGAGGGTTGTAACCACAATTAAAATAGCCGCCTTGACTGTTGTGACCTTTTCGGCTTTGATGACAGTTTCATATTGTGTGAGGTTTGATTGCAGTCTTAATTCATATAAACTAGCTTGTAAACCGTGGTTAACTGCTATTATGAAATCAAAATGTATAGCATTTACCAAAAATCATGAAACCTGGACATCTAAAGACTTCAAGTGAATCCACTCAATTTGTAGACCCCTATATAAAAGATTTCAGGATTTTTATAAATTCAAACAATAAAGCATCAACCAAGTCAGATGACTGGGAATCTCAAAATTTAGAGCTGTTGGGCTCTATTTTTTTGCCTCAAGGAACCACTATGAATGGAACCAAATATGTGAAGCTTCTACAGAAAAAATTATAATTGCGCATTGACATTCATCAGTGCTCCATTTACATACCTGACAGAGCTCCATGCCACAGAGCAAAGTTTATGCAGAGTTTTTATATCAAATATCAAAGTTTCAATCCAGGATTGAAACTTTGATAAAATATCAATGTTCAAACAGCCCAGGCCTCAGCTCTAAAAATAATCTCTGGGAAAAATTTTAAAGAATAAAAATTGCAGACAGCAATTATTTTTCTTTAAAATAACTATCAAGCATTATATTATTAAAAGAAGCAATAAAAAAATTTAGATAAATAAATTTAGGATAAAGGAAATATCTGCCAAGTGCTGTAACAACCTAGTTCTCAGCATGTCACAACAAAGCTAAGCGTTGATCAAAAGCAAAGGAGAGCCTGCAAAATACTGACATATTTAAACATGTAATGAATTTGATAGAGGATTTTGTTGAGTCATAATTTATAAGTAAAGTAGAGTTGTTTTTAACAAAAATTTATCTTTTAGTGTTGTTTTTAACTTGAAAATGGTAAAATTGCTAAGTGAAACTTTTGTTTATGACTGTATAAAAAAATGTTTTAAAAATCCTTATAACCTATTTCAAATACTTTTAAAATATTAACAAGTTTTTAATCAGATATAAAAACTGTTTGTGTGATGATATAATCAGTTATTATTTGTTTTAGATTTTCTCCCATTTTCTATTCGTGTGCTGTTAGAATCAGTTATACGTAATTGTAATGGGATTCAAATCAAGAAAAATGATGTTGAAAATATTATAAACTGGAGGAACACCCAACACGAGAATGTTGAGGTTCTATTTTGTCCTGCAAGAGTTGTTCTGCAAGATTTTAGGTATTGGCAATATAGTTAAAACAAAAAAATTGTATTTCTTTTAAATTTTAGTTTTAATAATTTTATGATAAGCTTTAGATTTTTCAAAATAAAATTATTCATAAAATTATCTAGAATTTATATAAACTAACTTGGCTTTATTTTTTCAGAAGATAATTAATGGATTTTTTTTTTAGCTCTATACCTGCCTTGATAGATTTTGCTTCTATAAGGGATGCTGTTGATCGGCTTGGTGGTGATCCATCAAAAGTAAATCCTATAACACCTGCTGACCTTATAATTGATTACCCAGTTCAAGCAGAATACTTTCAAAGGTTGTAAAATTTGTTTAAGTAAATTTCTTGACACTGATGATGATTATGATGATGATGATGATGATGATGATGATGATGATGATGATGATGATGATGATGATGATGATGATGATGATGATGATGATGATGATGATGATGATGATGATGATGATGATGATGATGATGATGATGATGATGATGATGATGATGATGATGATGATGATGATGATGATGATGATGATGATGATGATGATGATGACAGCCCAAAATTTTAGATTTATAGCCAACCTTTTTTACAAATTACGAATTATTAGTTGTTTTGATTTTAGTTAAAGGCATAATATGTTTTAAAATATATTTAACCCTTTCAGTTGCAGACAAAAAACAGTAAAATGATTGTAAGTAAATGTCAATTTAAAAAGCTATAAATAAGAATTGATTTAAAAGTTATAAAATAAAAACTAATTGTCAGACTTTTTTTATATAACTTTTAAATTATACAAATGAGACCTTGCTTCTTCTATTTGTCAGAAAAACTTTTCTTAGCCTTGGTCACGTGATCAAATGTTGTTTTTAGCTTGGTCACTTTTACTAACAAAATTTATGACCCACATAGCGGGTCGCAGGGGTTGAATGGGCTAACATTTAGTTTATATGTGTTACATGTTTTATTTTACATGTGTTTGTTTTATGATTTTTTTAATATATTTAGTTCTGACTCCCTTAAAAAAAATCAAGAAATGGAGTTTGAGAGAAGCAGAGAGTTGTTTCAGTTTTTAAAGGTAAGCACATTTTCAGTTATGTTATATTTGCTTAAAATAAATTTTCAATAAATAAAATAAATTTTCTTTTAATTTTTTTTCTCTTAGTGGAGTTCAAAAGCTTTTCAAAATCTGCGTATTATTCCCCCTGGTTCTGGATTTGTTCATCAGGTTTTGACAACTCTTTTATTTGTTACTTTAATTGTTATAATTAATTTTAAAATGATATTTTACTTGAAATTAAATAAACATACTAAAGGTTTCTTTAGATTTCATATTCATATTGGAGTTTTAATAATTTTTATAATCTCTAGTATCTATTAGTTTCTATGTTAATTTATTTTTCCAAAACAAATTATTTATTGAGATATTATTTTATTATAAATTTATTGAGATATTATCATAAAACTTTATAATTTTCAGCAACATTTTTTTTCTTGAAGATAAGTTACGGCTTTTTTTTTTTTTTTGTTTAAAATTACTGGTTTGATTAATGTGCTTTTGTAGTTAATAATTAACATCAATACAAAAATATTCTTTCAAATAACTTATAATTTAGTTATAAACATTGTTAAATTTGGTTTTTCCATTTTGCAATTAGTTTTCATGTAGAAGAATGCCTTTATAGACAATCTTTTGTAAAGTGTATAATAAGTGAATAAAAATTACACAAGCAATAATAATGCTTTAAAAGTCTGTCTTTTAAAGCATTATTATTGCTATTATTATTATAAATTTGTAATAATAAATTATTTTATTATTACAAATTTATTTTATTTTAAAATCAAAACTAATACTAGCACTATAAATATGAATGTAAATTTAAATATAAATGTAAATATAAAAATTATCTTGATATTTGTTAAAAATTTGTTCTGTGGACAATATTTTATAACCAAAAATACAATTTTGTGTGTGTGTAAAATTAAATAAATTTAATAAATTTGATTTCACATTAATTGAAAGCAAAATATTCTAATGAAAATAAAAATAAAACTAAGTAGAAAAGCAGCATTCTTCATTTTATTATAATTTTTATTTTGTCAAAAGTCTCCAGTTGAACTAAAATGCTTAATGTAGTGCGAACTAAATAGTTTTAAGAATTCTGCAGTAAGCACATTTATTATTCAAACCAGATGTTTTTGCTTGACTTGAAGTTAAAGAGAACTTAGAGAGAGAAGCAGAAAAAATTTTTTAAGTTGAAAATCTTAAAAATAAGAAGTTGAGTTAAGTATACAATATTTAAAAGTCTAATAAGTCTTCCATCTTCATAAGATATGAAACAAAAAGCTAAATCTCAGTCTGTTTATATAAAAAAAAGTTAATTATTTTCATGTGTGCATTTTGTTAAAATGAGACAAAATGAAATAAAATAAAGCAAATCAAAATAAAATGAGATAAAGATAACTAAAGTTTTTATGATACTATGGAATCTTGTATCTTCTAAATATGTTGTTTAAGTTTATTACTTATATTTTCATGAATTAGAATAATAATTATAAAGTTAATTATATTAAAATTTAACAAAGCTTCTTTTTTTTTGAAGAAAGATTTTTTTTATATATTAAACAATCCACAGACTCAATGTTTCAATTGAAATAAATCAAAACAAAGAGCTTGTAATCTAGTCAACAAAAATAAAAATTTCATGTTGGTAATTATGGGCGACTATCCTGACATTTTTTGGGATAATAAAGTCAGCAGACTTGATCGGTCAAATGAATCAAATTCAAATACCTGATCACTCTAACACAAAACATAATTGAACCAACATTATCAAAAAAGTTTTTTTTCTCTTTATTTTTACAAGTTGTCCTGAATCTTTTTTTTTTTTTTTTTTTTTTTTTATGTTAATTCACTTCCCCAAAGCCATGAAGGTCACTAAAGTTGAGGAAACTACTTTATTTTTGGTTACAACCCTTTCTCAATTTTATAGCTCTGAAACACAAAACATGAGGAACAAGGCTGTTGCGCAGAGAAACAAGTTGAGCATGGTATTAAAGGGAATCAAACTTGGAACTTCTCTTATGATGCGAGCGCTCTACCACTACACCACTACTCCATTACCAAATCTATCTATAATACAATAATTGGACCACCACTTGGCTCTACAAGTTGTAATCATTATTTTGTTATAATATTCAAGTTGTAATCATTTACATTCTTCGGTAAGCTTTAGCTTAATAACTGAAACAAAATTTATCACAGCTGAAATAAATTAAAACAGCTCCATTTGAAAAAGGTTTAAAGTTTGAAATTTTTTTTATGATATTGATGACATGCATTAGGTGTTATTATCTGAAACTAATTTAGCTATGGTCAAATTCATTTATACTTGAAAAAATGTCATTTTAAGTACTAAATGCAAATCACACTGGCTAACTAATATTTTAAAAACCCAAACAAGCAAAGAACTTTTCATCAATATCATCTCTGGATTCCACTAGTTACATTCTATCTAGTAAGTGACCGGAAAATTCTTTATATATTATAACTTTATGCTTACATTTACTATTTATTAAATACTGCCATATATTTATATATTTTCAAACTCTATTTTACTTCCAACAAGATTACACGCAACCACTATTAAGTTATGAGTCATTTTAAAATAGAGAATAAGTAAAAATACTAGGAAATGGTTAACTGAAAACTTAGGTCTAAGTTGTAGGTTGTATATAAAAAAACACCATTAAAATGGCTAAGGTTTTTTCGATATGCAAGGAAAAAAACTGGATTAATAAAACCAAAACTCATCCTTGCTTGGTTTTTATTCAACAAGTTGCATCCTCTTACTGTATCAGTCCCTTCATGCTATAAAAACTTTTATCCTAATAGAGATGATGCAATGTTTTAGAGTTCCTCTTTCCTTAACCCCACCTCCTTCTTCTTCCCTGTTTAAAATCAGTGCTGCGAAAATGACTTTTAATCATCATTTTTTTATTCATCATTTTAATTATCATTTTAATCATTTATGTTTATCTTGTTTAGTTTTATCCTAAGATAAGGAGTTGATTTAAAGGCATTTTTTTGAATACATGAATTTGATGATGTTACTTTAGTTATAAAAGAAAACTACTTTACCGAAGACTTCAATAAACGCTTTTGTTGCAAATACTAATTTTGTTGCTGTTAGTAAATAATTATTGAAATTTGTTTGAAGTATTTTAAACATTAATTAACTGTATTTAGTAAATTTTGTTTTAGTAGTTCTTAATATTTTAAATAATTAGTAATTAAATTTTAAAATACTTTAAACAATTTTTAATTAACATTTACATCACATAATATATTTACATATATTAAATCACGTAATATTTGTAAAATTAACAAAATAGTTTTATGTCTTGTATTCAAATAACTATGTGGAAAAAAAAACATAAGCATTTGATAAATGTGTTTACTATTTTTTTAATTTAAAAATTTTGATTTAAATATAATGTTGATAATTTTCAAAATTGATTTTAAGGCACCTTTAAATTAAAGATAAGTAAAGAAGAAATAATTACGGTAAACATAGTTTACAAAATGTTTTACTTTTTTGATTAAAAAACATATTATATTTTAAAAGATATTTTATCAATAAGAATATTTAAAAAAGTTATGTTTAATAAATAAGTTACATTTACTATGGGTTATTTAAAACAGATCTTTATAAAACTTTAATTTATTGCAATCTTTATTTTTGTTATTTTAAAGGTCAAAATGAAAAGAAACAAAACTTTCTAAAAAAGTTTATGTTTTGCTTTATCGTTTTCCTTACGTAAAGCTAAAGATCAAAAATTCATTCATTTAAAAATTAAATTTGCACGATAGTTATTAAGACTTTACTTTTGTTCATTTATTATCAAAAGCAGTTTACATTTAATTGCCAAAACATAAAAGTTAACTTTACTTTGAATAGATATTTTAGAATCCTTTTATCTTTCAAAAAAGCAAATTTTTTATACATTCCATTGATATAAAAAATTTGCAACAAGTTTTTAAAATTAAGTTTCTTAACGACTTTCAATTTTATAAAACTTACGTCAGTTAAGTTAGAAACAGTTACGTCAAGTAGTTACGTAATTTTGTTTAAAAATTGTTGGTTAAACTGAATATTACCTAGCAAAAGTTATCCCAAACAAAAAAAAAATTTTTTGACAACAATATAAGGGTTGGTGTAAATTGCCTTTTAACTAAAATAAAAATATTTTAAAAAGTAGTGTTTAAAGTTATTAAGCACATCTTTTCTAGTAATCTACAACCTAATAAGTATCGATATTCTAGGGGTTGTCCATAAAGTACGTACGCTCATAGGGTGGAGGGTGGAGGGTCTTCAAAAAGCGTACAAAAGCGTATTGGGGGGGGGTCCAAATTTTTTGGTTGAAAATTTGCTTTTTTGAAAGATAAGTTTTTTGGATACGAGTTAACAGTTACGTCAAGTAGTTACGGAACTTTTTAAAATGATCTTTATTTTTTTCTGCTTGTGATATTTTTAGGATGCAAATGAAAAGTACTTGTATGTCTAGTCTAAGTCCTTTTTGAAAAATGTATTTTGCAGTGTAAGTTATAGATTATCAGAGAAGTAAAATAAAAAATGTTTTTTCCAGACATGATTTCAGAACTTTCTACCGAATGTTTAGTGCATGGCAAGTACTAAATAATTTACTGGTTAGTGGTTTATCATAAAAGATTATAAAGAGTCATGGAAAAGTCATGGAATTTCATTTTCAAATTTGAATGGTTACCCTGTTATTTATATACTAATGCATTTAAATCTAAAAATTTTTTTTATTTTTAATAAAAAAAAAACAAAATAAAATTTAAAAAATAGAAAATAATTTTTAGGAGCCTTTTTTTTTGGGCGCCCATACCACTCTAGGGGTGCTAAAACAGGTCTGGGTTTGTCCCTGCAAATACATTTTAATGAATCCTTAGAGGAATTATACTCTCTAATGAAGAAAAAGAGCCTACAGGTCATTGCATTTATCAAACAAGACAATTGTTCGCAAGCTTAGATGCTCACTACGTTTGATCAATTATTTTGTAAATGATCCAACAAATTATTGCTCAAAGCCTTGGAGTTGTACAAGAGGACAACATAGCTTTGGAAAATGAATGGCAAAAAATGTGTTGTCTGATAAAAAAAATTCAATCTTGATGGTCCAGATGGTTTAAATTATTACTAACATTAAAAAAACGAAAATATTTTCAACACAGAAAAGCTATGGGAGGCGGAAGAGTAATGATTTGGGGTGTTCATGAAAATTTGGAAGCATAAATTTTATTTTTCAGCAATTTGCTCCAATTTATAGAGCAAAGTCAAATATCTCATGGTTTACCAGCAAGAAAACTCAATTATTGGAATGGCCAGCGTTCCCGCTTGATTTGAATCCCATTGAAAACATATGAGGCATTTTAACAAAATGTGTTTATGCAGAAGGGAAATGATGTTTAAATGTCAATGAATTGAAAAATGCAGTTGTACATGTTTGGAAGAACACATATCTCTGATCTCAGAAAACATTTGGAAATTATGCCATATCAAAAATTAGATGTCATTCAGAATTGTGGCAATAAAACAAAGTATTAATAATCAATACTATAAAATATTACCAATAAATATAATAAAGTATTTATCATAAATATAATCAAGTATTATTGATAAATTCAAATTAAGAACAAAGTTAAAATGAGGTATAATTTTGCACCATTATTTTTATAAAATTTTCAAATCAATTAATGAAATGAAACTGGACTATTACAAATGATTGATCTAGTTAGATGCAATTTAATAGTTTAGTAATGATCATTTATTTATATGCAAGTAATTGATTTTTTGGTGAAGTTATAAATCTACACTGCATAGTATATACACATTGATGTTAACAATATGTACACATTGGTGTTAGTATTTATTTATTGGTGTTAATATGTACGTGTTGTTAACAAAATATACACATTGATATTAACAATATGTAAATGTTGGTGTTAACAGTAATGTACACGTTGGTGTTTACAATAATGTACACAATATTGATAACAGTAATGTACATATTGTTGTTAACAGTAATGTACACGTTGGTATTAACAGTAATGTGCACGTTGGTGTTACCAGTAATATACATGTTGGTGTTAACAGTAATGTACATGTTGGTGTTAACAGTAATGTACACGTTGGTGTTAACAATATTTACATGCTGGTGTTCACAATATGTACATGTTGGCATTTACATTGAAATATCAATGTCACAACATACATATTACATTCAGTACTTTATTGTTGAAGTTATTGAATTTGTTTTGTTTTTTGTAATTTAATAGGTAAATATGGAATACCTTGCCAAAGTGGTATTTTCTAATAATGAAATGTTGTATCCTGATTCTCTAGTTGGTGCTGATTCTCATTCAATGATGATCAATGGGCTCGGAATATTGGGATGGGGTAAATTGTTAAGAATGTCAACTTCATTTTTATGTATTTGATTTTGTTTAATTAAGGAGTGTTTTTTTTTTTTTTTTTTAACAAATGCATTTTAAACAAGCAAACAACTACTTAAAAAAAGTTAAAAAAAAGTTCTTTGCAAATAGTTTTTGCCTATCCACAGAAGTTAGACCTGAGATGAGTCAGATCAGAGTATTAGAGGTTGTTAGACCTTGTTAATGACTATATACTTTAGTTAATGACTACTATTAATTAATGTTCTACAAAGTAGCATGGTTTGAAAGTTCAACATTCAAACATAAAAGTATTGTAATATTATTTTGTTTTAAAAAGAATTTGTGTTGGTCGCCTAAAGTCAATATAACTAGTTCTCTAAAGTCAATATAACTAGTGACTCTAAAAACAACTTTTTTTTCAAAAAATTAGGGACACGTTTGATGTTTAAGGGTCTTGAGCAATCCCTAAAATTTTTTTAAATTTAGTATTAATTTATTACATAGATCACATTTAGGGGGTGGCAGCAGACAATTTCAAAAAAAGATGTTTTTAGAGTCACTCTAATATATATATATATATATATATATATATATATATATATATATATATATATATATATATATATATATATATATATATATATATATATATATATATATATATATATATATATATGGCCCCCTGGTGCCATATATATATATATATATATATATATATATATATATATATATATATATATATATTATATATATATATATATATATATATATATATATATATATATGGCCTCCTGGCCCCCTGGTGTTGTCAGTGTCTCATTTTTTTTATAAAGGACCTTTTTTTTTTTTTTTTTAAAGAAAAATATTGAATAGAGGACTTTTTTCACAAACTAACGATTGTGCCCCCCCTCCTTCAAAAGCCTGTGTCATCTTCCCTGATATATATATATATATATATATATATATATATATATATATATATATATATATATATATATATATATATATATATATATGAATTCGTGTTTAGATAACACCTCTGACCTCACACTGAAACAACCTGTTGCTGGGGCTGTTTCAGTGTGATGTCCTACCTTTATATGCTATAAGGATAGGAAAAACAAGTAAGAATTTGTAGATGTGATACCGAAGGTGTGTCAACACACCAGCTCTCTGTCGTTGGTACTTTTTTCATATATTTGAGGTTTTTTCGCAATTCTGTGTATAATTGTAGCACCACATTGATCTTGATCATTGATCTGCCAAGAATATCATTGATCTGCCAAGAAGGTAAGCTGGTGTGTTTATGCACCTTCGATATCACATCATCATGCTGATGAGCATTGTGACTTGGTAAGACAATTATACTATGATAATGTATATGTATTATATACATAGTTACATAGTACATCTTCTAAGAATATGAACTTCTAAGAATGCTTGTTATATATATTTAATACTAGATAAACTAAGAAGGCTTGATATTTTGTGGCATATATATATATATATATATATATATATATATATATATATATATATATATATATATATATATATATATATATATATATATATATATATATATATATATGTATATATGTATATACGTATATATATATGTATATATATATATATGTGTATATATATATATATATATATATATATATATATATATATATATATATATATATATATATATATATATATATATATATATATATATATATATATATATATATATATATATATATATAATGAACAACTATATTATATTATAATATAGTTGTTTATTATTGTTGATAATTTTACATTAATTCCAAATTTAAATATTTTTTTACAAGAAAAATATTGTATTAACTTTCTGAATTAAAAACTAATTACTGAATATTTTAATGTGCTCTTATTTGTTAAAGTATTTCAGCTTGTTATCAAATTATTTCCTATTATTATATTGTTCTCACATTTTTAGTTGTTGGAGGCATTGAAGCAGAATCTGTTATGTTGGGAAAGGCTGTTGCTATGACTATACCAAAAGTGATCGGCTATAAAATTAGTGGAGTTTTAAATCCATATGTGACATCTACAGATATTGTAGTTGCTATAACAAAGGTATTAATTGCTACTACAAACAAAATAAACATTATAAGTAGGTGAAGGTGCGGACTTCCTTTATGATTGTAAACCTCTTTAGTTAAGAACATATTAATCTCCTACCAAACATAGGTTGACATATTTATGAATAATGAAATTAAAGTTTTAGGTATTTTTAAATTACAGTTTTTTTTTATTTATGTTTTTTAAAATTTATTTTTCAGTTGGAAATTTGATGAGATCTTGTTTTGCTCAAAATCTAATAATGAAAAAATAGTAATAGAAACATGTCAATAATTTTCCTTTTGAGTGTAAATATATTTATGCAACTTTTTAAATTTTTGTTAAAAACAATAATACTTTATAATCCCAAGTATCAAAAATATATCGAAAATTTTGTTGATGCATTATTACTAAATGATATTTGTGTTTTATGTAAATAAATTTCAGTAAATAGAGTCACTTATGAACAATGTTCTTTAATGATTTTGTTTTTTGTTCTGTTTGGTTTGTTCTTTAAAAAAAAAACAGTTTAAATTTAAAGTAATTTTTAAAAAATCTTAATCCATATTGGAATTTATTTAGATTAAAAAACTATAGTTATTTATTCTCCTCCTTACAGTTTAATTGAAAATATCATTAAAAAGTTAGTAAATATAGTTTATAGTTTGACATCTAAATTTACAGTTTGTGGTAAAAAATGGCTCTTAGATAAGCACATTAGGGTTTAGGTAAAAAAAAAATTTTTGGTCTTGAGTATATGAAGTGTGAGCTTAAAAAGTGTGCAAACCCTTGTTTTATATATAAGATTTTTTTTTAACTTTAAAAAAAGTTTAAAGGTCCACAGCCCTAGAATACTTTTTTTTACCCTTTTTTGATATTTTTCGACCCCATGTGTGCCACTCTTAAATAATATTGAATTCAATTTTTTTTCTATATAAACTCTCACAATGACTATATTTCTATATAAACTGACTATATTTCTATGACTATATTTCTATATAAATATATATATTTATAAATATATATATTTATAAATATATATATAATAATAAATATATATATTTCTATATATATATATATATTTCTATATAAACTGACTATATTTCAATGACTATATTTCTATATAAACTCTCACAATGAAGCTCAACACTGGAAAACTTATAAAAAAGTCAAAAAGTAGACAAAAAAAATGGTTTTCCTTATTTCTTGAATCGCAGCTACTTTTTTGGTGATTGAGATAGATAACTTACAGACATGCAGCAAACTTCAAACTTGGGTATGTTTATACTTCTATCGAATTAGGATTTTTCGAAAAAAATCAAAGTGATTTTTTTCGAAGCATCCTAAGCCCCAAATATGAGGCCCCCCAGCCCCAAATATGAGGACAATAAATTACCAAGATTTATACTATTGCTATTCTAAACTAAATTTATATTCATCAACAGATTTCAAATTTCATCTAATAATACTTTAGCAATCAAAAATTATAACTATGTAAAGTTTCCACCCTCCCTAAAATGAGGGGGTTAAAAACTTTACATTGTCATAACTTTCGAACGCTAAATTATTATTAGATGAAATTTGAAATCTGTCAATGAATATAAATTTATTTGAAATAACAATTGTATAAAACTTGGTAACTTATTCCCCTCACATTTGGGGCTGGTGGGACAAGTTTTAGGGTTTTGGTAGTTCCCAGGCTCCACTCACTGTGATTTTTTGCTAAGTATTCTCATTTAATATAAGTATAAATATACCTAAAATTAAATATGCTCCATGTCTAAAAGTTATATATTTTAATGACCAAAAAAAGCTGCCACGATCCCTGTATTTCTATGGTATTTTTCATTACAAAATCTAGCCAGTTGAATGGAGTTATAAATAAGCTATTATAATATATTATATTATTTTCGATGTTAAACTTTGAGATGAATCTAGAGGAAGGTGGATTAGCCCTCCCCTATTAATATACCTTTCTTTCGAGCTGCCGGAGGAGGAAGGAGAAAAAATAAAATCAATGTCATATTAGACTTTAACCAGCGGTGTCTGTCAAATGTTTTTAATACTGAAGTAGCTCCTAGAAAATTTATATCCATGAACCTCATCATCTGCAACAGCTTTCATATCCTATACAATATTTTAACAATATTAAAGTCATCAATCAAACAATTAACTAATTATTTTTTATGCTTCTTATTTATATTTATTATTTTTAACCTGATATGGGGCAGCAGCACTAAGAAACCGAGTGTAAAAGGTGCCGACAAACATAGCGATATCACAAATCTCTTCTGTATCTTCTTCTGATAAATTTGGAATGATTTCCAATAGTAAATACATTTTAAGGTAATACAATGCTTTTACCATGCATCTTACGTAATGCAATACACCAGGAACCTATTATCTATTACATCTCTCTAGAACTGTTCAGCCTCAAGATGCTGTTTATTTATCCAAGTTTCTGTTTGAATTTGAATCCTCATTAATGGATATTAGTCATCGTGAGAATTTATATAGAAAAAAAAATTAATTCAATATTGTTTAAGGGTGGCACACATGAGGTTGAAAAATGTCAAGAAAAAGTAAAAAAAAAAAAAAAACTCTGGGGTTTTGTTCCACCCTTAAACTTTTTTTAAAATTTAAAAAAAAAGTCTTATATATGAAACAAGGGTTTGCACACCATATAAGCTTCCACTCTATTCCAAAAAATTTTTTTACCTAATTCTGAACCACCCTATAGCACATGATGTCACACTGGAATAGTCTGCTGTGAAGGGCTTCAGTACATACATTGACTATCAAACAGCCTGCTACCGCAAAGTAGTCCCACTACAATGGCTAATGGTTTGGCATGGGCAACAATCTTTTCTTTCATTATTTAGTATGCTATAAATATAAACAAAACTAGTAAGCATTTGCTGATCTTTATACGATTTTATTTATTTATTTATTTTTTTTCAAAAAAGTTATTGATATTGTAAAAATATACTTAGTGGAAATAGTTAAATAGACAGACAGCCAAATTAGTTCAAAAATTCTTCAAAATTAG